CTGTGAGAAATGTTGGATTAGCTTCTACTCTAAAAGGTTATTTTTCTCACAATACTAATGAATGTCTAAAACTACAGAATGCAGGTTGGTTTCCAAAGAGACAAGAGGCCGAACGAATTTTGGTGGATATAATGAAAAGTTTTGTGTTTCAATATTACTAAAAATGTTTTTAGGATTTTTCGAAGATTATAAAAAAATTATAATCAATATGAAACAAGAATTAGTTCTTACTAGAGCAAGTAATGATTTAGATGCAGTTTGGTTTAAAGATGATTTGGAGACCAAAGTAATTGAAATGAGCGTGTTTTTTGCACACAATGTGTTGTACCACTTCTCATTTTAACACTATATTAGAACACACTGTTAATTTTGACGTTTGTGTTAGAATGAAACATTGAAACAACTTTTTTTTTTTACCAACACCTCAGGCACCTCTGAATTAAGCACCGCCTTTAGCGGCTCCTTTGGGGTTAAGTTTAAAATTTTAAAAATTTCTCGGCTACTTGTCCAACACTGAAACATCTTTTTTGACCACCACCACCTGACTCAAGCACTACCTTTTTTTAGTTATAGGATTTTATCAGGCCTGGTACACCATGCAAGCCCAACCCACTTTTTTCAGAGAGGAAGTATATTTTTTTTTCCTCCGACTTTTGTAGAGGATATTTAATGTCTTGAAATCAGGTAAATTTTAGCAATAGTTCGATTTTTTTGTGCAGTGAATTTGAGAAATATCTGATAGCAAAAAAAAAATGTCGAAACGAGTTATTTGTTTTACGTCAAAAAAAGTTGCAATGTCAACTTTAGATCAAACTATAACTTCGATGCATGATGATGAAGAGTTAATATTTCATGAAGATCAGAACAACAAATCAAGACACAGAAGCAACATTTTAATCAGCATAGATAAAAACAACACACGTGAGGACGATGAGGATTCTGAAGATGAGGCAATTTGTGTAGACGAAATTGAGATCCCATCAGCTTGTGGTGAAAATGCCGATGTAGTTACGAAAGAAATTAACGCAAGTGATACAGTTTTACCAAATTATCTCATGAAACAGATTTGTGTTATTCAATCCTATGTTGTCATCGAATCAGTTTATGGAGGACTGTACAGTTTTTGTTTGAATTGTCACTACTCCCATGGTCTAGAAGTACCTATAGGAAAGCACAAATTTGTGAACACTCACTATCAAAGGAGATTCTATTGTTGTGAAAAAGACGACCTATGCTGTGCAATATGCACATCAATACTTTTTTTAAAAATTCCTACACCGGTGTGCATAATGTGCAATAAAAGTGAAGCTCAAAATATTACCAATCACACTTTAGAAAAGAGAAATTTAGAATAATTACTATTATGATGGGTACCTACCAATCAGGAGGACAAAGGATTGGACGAGATTTTTTACATTTGATCATTCTTTTATTTATGTATATTTATTGTGATTGTTTTTGACATTTTTATATTATTTCTATAATTATTGTAGGTCTATTTGTTGGTATATTTTTATTTATAGTTATATTAGGGTTTTACACTATTTATTTATCAATTAGTTATTCGAGTAATATAGTTAATCTTTTAAAACTCTTATAAATTAATCGAATTATTGTTCCGTTAAGATTTGTTAATAACGGTATTGCTTTCCTCTTTGGAGAAATTCGTTATGAGTTGAACGGAGTCACTATAGACTCTGTGAGAAATGTTGGATTAGCTTCTACTCTAAAAGGTTATCTCTCTCACAATACTAATGAAAGTCTAAAACTACAGAATGCAGGTTGGTTTCCAAAGAGACAAGAGGCCGAACGAATTTTGGTGGATGATAATGGAAAGTTTTGTGTTTTAATATTACTAAAGATTTTTTTAGGATTTCTCGAAAATTATTTAAAAAAATTATAATCAATATGAAACAAGAATTAGATCTTATTAGAGCAAGTAATGATTTAGATGCAGTTTTGTTTGTTGTATTGGAAAATTCCACACACATAACAGTAGATATACCTCAACGAATACGTTAGGAAATCCTCATTGAAGTTTGTCCTGGAATTTGAAGATAAGCCGACCATTCAAAAAGGACAGCCTGAATGTTTTTACCATCTGAAATCACAATGTTTATGTGCACTTACTAATGTATTCTATTTATATAATAATTTTATAATGATTGAGTAAAACACTTATTATTTGAACTTTTGTTTATTTTATTTGATAATGATATAAGTTACATATTTAACTTATTATTAAACACTTCCTGAATAATTTCTTTCGGAGCAAACTTTTTCACTTTATCTAAAAAATGAGCAAAATCCATGTGTTTTATGGTAGTAAGGAATGTTGTCAGATCCAAAGTATGTAAGTAGGTATTACAAGCCTCCTCCGCTTTGCTATATTTTTTTTTGCAAGTTCCATACATTCTTCGCTCGTTTTGAACCTTTCAAACCCACAATTAGCTCCATGCTCCACATCAAACTTCAAATTTCTAAAAGAGTTGTGCCAAATTTTCAATTGCTGTTGTCAAGCTGTAGGTTGGAGTTTCTTGCACATAAGCTAACCACATCTTGACTAGTTATATAATATCAAAACAGCTCCAGAAGCCTAAGTATTACTTGTTTAGTAAAGGGAGGTAATAAACAGTAGGTATGTTGGTACTAATATTTTTTATTTTCCAATTTATTAACAAATTCCTTACATACATATGTTTCCACATCTTCTATAATACAATCAGAATGGAAAATTAGCAATTCCAAAACACAGGAAACATTTTCACTATTTGGGTTAGTTGAAGGTGAAATGTGCTCGTATACATTTTTGTTCAAATCACCATTTTTATTGGATACCATGCTTATTACACTGTTGTAATAATTTAAAAATTCTTGACTCTTAAGTAGATCAAAACGATACTTTATCAAGTTAACCAAATTTATAAGTTCATTTATAGTTTCACCAGCCAAAAAAATTTCGTTTCCACCATCTTGAGTAATTTTGATTATTCTTGATTCGCCAATAAACACAAATTGAATTTCGTAGCCATTTCCTGACAAAGACTGCCATCCAGTACTTTTAGAGTAAACAAAACTTAACAAATTTTTTTGGTTATTCAAAAAGGACATCCATTGTTCCTCATCAAAAATCATATTTTGCTTATTTTTGTATCCTCCTAGCTTGACAACGGGAATATATTTTTTCTCCAAGGAAAATCCAACGCTGACCCACTTGGATTGTGATTTGTTGATGTAGTACTTTTTTTCTCCAATTAGGGTTCTTACCAAATTCTTCCATTTTTTTTGGTTGTTGATAGTAGTTGGTTGCTTGGAACATTTTATTATTGATACTCAGACAAAAGTTTGAAACTGAATGATAGCAACACTTTCCATTTTTTCATTTATATCTCAAGACAAAATAGACTTGATAAAAATTTTGAGAGGTGGGTATTAGTATACCTTCTCTTTTTTCACCTTTTACACAAATTTTGAATGAGTTGGATAAGAAAAAATCACACATTCAAATGAAAATTCAAAAACTTTTATTTGTAATACAAATATACATGATATAAAAGAAAACATAATATAGTAATAAATGATAGAAATGATGTGATAGAGAAAATTATTAGACTAACATCTAAATAACTTTCACATGGCTTGATATATAATTTGTTCCATTCTTTTGTTTCTACATAGTTTCTATCTACAAAATAAATCGGTAACTTGTAATCAACATTAGAAGAATTATCAACATTTTTTCCAATTTTGTAATAATAATGTCCATTATTCAAATAATCCATTATTTTCCATGCTGATGGTCATGTATCATTTTTTACATTGTTAGCTGATAAACATATAAACGTCTCTCTCTTACATTGTAATTGACTTGTATAAACAAAGTACTATTTAAAAATGCAGAAAGAAACAAGAGTTCTGCTGGTAGCATAATTACTTTCAAATGATTATATGTTTTTTATAATTATCACAATTTATAGCATCACAAGCTAATCCTTGAAGCACTTTAATTACTTCATTAACGTCTTCATCGTCACAAATATTATCATCGCTCAATATATTAATGTCTCTGAAAGTTACAATAAGTTACAAAAATAACTTTCTTCTCCAGTTTTTTTCTATGGTCCAATATTATAGTACTAAAAAGTATATTCCTTTAGCAGCCGACATGCATTAGGTACAACGGGTAACCGCTTACGAATAATAGTATATTATATACCTAGGTAGAGAAGTTGGTCATTATATACCGAAAGCTTTTATAAACCGAGGCGCGCAGCGCCGAGGTTTATAATGCTTGAGGTATATAATGACTTTCTCTACCGAGGAATATATAGATTTTTTTTTACTACTGCTAGTAGAAAATAAAAAAATTGTTTAAAATCTGTGTTCTAATTATTTTTTGTGAACGCCCTCTTGAAAGTGCTGCCCTCTATCAACAGCTTATATAACTTCCTACGTACCTACAGAAACCTGTATTTTTTTTCAAATTGATGTATGAAATTGAAATTGAACCAATAGAAACATGACAATATCCTTGCGTCATGACGTCATTTTCATTATTAACCTAGGTATTTTTTCATTATTTTCATTATTAACCTAGGGAGAGAAATTCAATTTTTTCCTAGAATAATAGATTGAATAATGACTATTTCTCAGGTTAGTAGTAAAAAAAATATATTATTTCGAAATTATTCGGTTTGAATTGATGTAAATAATGTTTCAAATTATTTTTTCAAATTTTCTTGAAATATCTTTCAAATATGTCTACAAACAGATAGGAAATGGGATAGGGGAATAAAAAGAATCTGTTGTGGAGGCCTACTGCAATTTTGCATTTTAAATCAACGTAATTAAAACCATCGTGAGATAAACAGATCCATAATTTACAAACTTGTATTGCGAACGCTATAATTGACCAGATAATGAATTAACCTTGTGAATATCTTTACCCATAATAAAAATCAATGAACTACACAAAGATGCCAGATAATTACATATTTTTGCAGACTGAAAATCACTTACTAAAGAATAAAATTAAAAGAAAACGTATATAAACAAGCCAATATTTCTGAGACTTCATTCAATCGCTTTTGTTTCAAGATGACTCAAAACATGTTACCAAGTAGCAATGCTCAAACTCAAGTAAGTCTGTTTAATATAGCGCATTAATTTGATCCGTAATGTTTTTTCTTTAAAATAGCAAGTGCCCCAAACGTCGGTTTGGTGGGTTGAAAAATCCCTGGAACCCCCGGTAAGTATATTTGAACATCACAGCATGTTTGTTATAATTTTTTTCAAACCTAGAGAGAAGAAGATCAATTGATATTAATCGGCGACAATCGATGGGTAAGGCACGTTGACTGGCAAAGGTACCTACAGGACAAAGCTAGTGGCGTAAAAGTAAAATAATGAAATTGTGTGTTTACAAATATTTAACTGATAATTTATAGAAACCGCAGGGAACCATAAGTCAGGCTGAACGGAGCAGCCCTTCTGCTGACGGGAGTAGTCAGCTTGATAAGGTGTCATCAAATCAAGTAAGTAAATTAGTGAAGCTTAACAGACATAAAACAACTATAAATATGAATATTTTTAAACAGAATCAAGACCCTACCATAGACTACTCTTGGGATGAAGACCCTCCAATGTTGAGCTACAATCCACAAACTTATGTCTCAGCAAACAAAATTATCCGGTGCCCCCCCGTCGAAATTGAAGTTTATAAGTATAATTTTTTAATAAAATAATAGTAACTTAATTTATTGTTTCATTGGGTTTTTATAAAAAATCAAAACATATTTTTCGAAGATCACAAAGCACAATTCTGGAGTGGATTTTAAAAAATACTGGTTTATCAGGGATTTTAATGAAGTTCGTTGTTTTTGTAACTCATAACTTTTCCCACCAAAAGTTCAAACAATGCGATGTCATCAGATCAACTAGTCGAGCAAAAAACAAACAAACAACAAAACCCTACCATCGACAATTCTTGAGGACTTTATGGTAGATAGCAATAACCCAGAAGCAGATGCAAAAAAAAATTAGGCATCAGGAAAGAAAAAAGATTTTCAAAATTCCAATTTGTATAATTTTTTTAATAAAATGATAACTTGATTTTTTTTTATTCGATTGTGTTTCAATGAAAAATCAAACCATATTTTTCGAAGATGTATCAATAAATTAGCAAGGTTTTTCACCACTTGCTTCCACTCAAAAATATTGAGAACCGCAAAACTAAAATTTTGAACACGAATACAAATGAAGGAATTGTATTCTCTAGTTTTCAGGAAATTGAAGGGGTATGGTACCATCGTCACCAAAAGTAACTGGGACAGCATCACATTAGCTCTTGTCCTATTATATAAATTTTATTGTCAAATATTTGTCAAACTATGAATTAAATGCATTGAAATAAATGACAGTAGAATTAGTCCATGAGATTATTATGCATTATTTGTGTACCAGATACTTTTGGTGACGATGGTACCTCTTCAGAGTAGAAGTTTTTTAATGTAGTAGAGGTGGGTATCGCTTTGATAGCTGAAGGCTTTTGAGCGTGGGAACTTTTTTGATACCGTGGGAAAATTGGCGATCTGAAATTTTGGGAATTTGACCCGGGTCAACCGTGGGAACTTTTTTGATAGCGTGGGAACCTTTTCAATAGCGTGGGAACTTTTTCGGATATTACAACTTTTGCTCCAACATTATAGGCCTTTTGCAGTCATACCTTAAAGGTTGGCCGTTTGCACCGACCATTTCAAGGGAGGCTTAACGATAAGTGTTCCTTAAAGTGACATTCGATATCGTGGGAAAATCGGCGCCTTTGATCCGAAATTAGAATTTGACCCGGGCGAACCCCAAAATTTGTGAATCTGGAGAACCATTTACTTAGAAGAGGTCTGGGGGCACTTGAATCAAAAAAGTGCTCAGGAGCTTCACGGAAGGGGGTTTACAGTGGTGGGTAGTGGTATGATGGCTGTGCTGGAGGGGCAGTAAAATAATTTCTTTGGTGGGGCTCATAGTGGGGGGATGTTAGAGTAGGAGCTTCAGGGAAGGGGGTTTACAGTGGTGGGTAGTGGTATGATGGCTGTGCTGGAGGGGCAGTAAAATAATTTCTTTGGTGGGGCTCATAGTGGGGGGATTTTAGGGTAGGAGCTTCAGGGAAGGGGGTTTACAGTGGTGGGTAGTGGTATGATGGCTGTGCTGGAGGGGGGTTTTACGTGGTAGAGGTGGGTATGTGGTCTGATAGCTGTAAAAGCACTCTACTGTTTCAAAATCCCGTGGCGCCCTTGTCAACTGTCTCAGTCTTTTGACCCACTAAAGTTTACATGCCACAACTGAGAGGCTGTGCATATTATGAGCGGATTCCTATGCAATAACTACAGAAACCATTGGGTACAAATGAGACACCATTATTTTTTTTCAATCTTTACGATTATTTGAATCTCTATTCCCAGATTTTTTTTTGTGCATATCATGCGAAAAACGCCCTCTTAGTTATTCAATTTGAAATATAAATAAAGTGTTCTATTTTATATTATAGATGAAAAACAACGGTCTACTTTTTGTAACCCCATTCTTTTCTACTGAACAAAATGACAAAAACAACTTATTTCCATCTTTTTCCTGGAACGAAAAGCTGAAATATAATGTTCTTACTGGGAAAACAGATGAAAGCCATTTAGTATGTTTGTAAGTTCAGTTTAACATGAAAATAGAGGATATCGAGCGTAAACTTTGAAACAGTAAATCAAGCACGTCTTGATAACGGAGGAAAACTAATCCAGTTGTTTGTTGAAGTGTTCAGTTTGGTTATGGATATTTACATGGAAAAATTACCAACACTATAATTTATCTATAGGGTAGTCTAAGTTTTATTGGCATGAAAGAAAATCAATGGAATACAAGAATATAGTGACAGGTGATCAATCAATGATATACCTGTAATAAGACAGTAATTCTGGAGTGAATTATTTAGGTATTTAATAAACTATTTACCGCAACCGCATAGTGTCAAGCCGATTGGATCTACAACTAAAGAATGGAAAGAGGAATTCCTTGTTTATTTGGTGTCGGACATTATTTATCTCCTAAACTTTTCACGCCGGTGTAGGAATACGCATGAATGATATCGAATCATTTGCGCTTTGTCGATGACGTTGTGGTAATAGTTAACAACTTCAGAAAGGCCTCTTCGATATAGGCCTCTATGATATTGGCCACAATATTACTTTCAAAAAGACAGGTTGATGACCTAATTTTTCGCAAATTATGGTATGAAAACAAGATAAATACGAAATGAATCCCAATAGGGTGGTCATCTCCTGAAAAAAAAGGTCATGAATGAAGACTCCGCAAATACAATACAATGAACAGCTGCTTAGGTTTCAGCAAGGGAGCATTTGGAGGGATGCGGGGCACCCTAACAAAAGATATACCTAAGTGCTTTCCGAAAAAAGCTTTTGAACAGTAATTATATAGAAAACTAAGACTCTCACATTGATACAACTATCAGCACATGAACTTCATAGGTAGGCACAAAGATCAATGGTCAGACAGATGCTTAGAATTCCAAGAAAATGAAAGATACAATAATATCAGAGAAAGAACAGAACAAAGGTAAATGTTACAGCCCATGCCAGAAGGCTGGCATGACTAACAAGAGATAGATTAGGAGATTTAAATTAGTTCCTATGGCTTGTAGTGTAATGTGGAGTTGATTTTTTTCCTGAATTCTTGGGCGCTTTGGATAATTTCCCCTGGTATCTGGAGTAGATCTTGGCTCTACTGGTTTCTGGAGCGCTGTAACAGTGTGAAGTATACCAAGACATTCTTAGCTTCTTAGGCACTTAGAAAATACTGACTTGGGCAAAGTAACCATGGCAGGAGCAAAATAACCCCCGTTTAGGGTCCGTAACTTATAATACAGGGTGTCCCAGCCGAAAGTGACCCATTTAAAATGCTTATAACTTTTGAACCAGGTATGCTAGCCACCTGCGGTTCATACCATTCGATTTCTCTTGGCCTAAAGTTTTTTTTAGTATGTTGCAAATTTTTTTGAAACTTATACAGGGCGATAAAAAAAAATCCGTTTTTCAACATCGAAATTCTCCACTATTTCTGATGGAACACCCTGTATATCCCAATTCCAAAAGAAAGATTCATGCTCAAGGTATCCTATACCTGTAGACTGCAGACATCGTCCCTGAAACTTGAAGTTTTAGCAGTAAAAAATCAAAATCGAAATCTTGCCATTTTTGCAAATGCATGCAATGCTTGATATCACTATGATACAACATAGATATCAATTAAGTTAAAATACATTTTCCAAGAAAACTCTAGAACTCGTTAAATAGAGATACCCCCAACAGTAACGGTTTGGTGTGCAATCTCTATTGAGAAAAAATACAGACCATTTTCATTAATGAACCAACGATAAGAGAAACTGTATACACTGATACGTTCTTTTTTCCACAGTTAAGACAAGAGGGTATCTTGGATGATATCTATTTTCAGCAGGATGTTGCCCCCACCTCATTATTCTTTAATAGCAAGGGAATCACTAGATATGACACTTGGGGAAAAACGGACAAGGAGAGCTGATCCTATAGAATGGAAACCTTACTCTCCTGACTTGAGAGTTCTAGACTTTTTTCTCTGGGGTTATGTGAAAGAAAAATGCGGTAATACTTTGCCTAAATAACCTGGAAGATCTTAAGCGGAACATTTGTAATGCCATTGAAGCGATTCTCTTCAGGAAATGTTACACAATTCATTCAACCATTTAGTCTATGCGGCAGACCATCAAAATGGGGTAAAATGTAGCAAATTGGGTTAAAAGCATGAAATTTGGCAGAGTTGTTTTTTGTACTATTTTAAGGGATTTGACCCGCAGCACCTAAAATTTCAACCCTTAGGAGGGTGGTTTAACCCCTATTTTATTTTTTAAGGGTTAAAATTATTAAAAATATCTATGTCATCAGATTATTTCAATATTGGTGTCATTTTAGACTAATTCGAATGTAGGGAATGCAAAAAAAATATCTCATTCTCATAGGACCCAACGGTAGGGCTCTATCGCTGTAATATTTGACATAAGTGTCAAAAATATCGTTTTTTTACATTCAGACCTATCTGGAAAAAATCTATGGCGATTTATATAGAATTTGGCATGAGAAACCCGCAGCACTTTAAATTTTTTCCCTCAGGGGGGTTGTGCAACCCGTATTCCATTTTTAAAGGGTTAAAATTATTGAAAATGTCTATCATATTATTCCAATATTGGTGTCATTTTAGACTAAATCGGATATAAGGACTTTGAAAAAAAATGTGTCATCTTTATAGGACCCAACGGTAGGGCTCTATTGCTGTCATATTTGACATTAATGTCAACAATATCTTTTTTTTTTCACATTCATACCTATCTGGAAAAAATATACGGCGATTTATATAGAATTTGGCTCAAAAAATCCAAAAAAATATGTTCCGAATCTGTACAGGTCATTGATACAGCTCTGCAGCAACGTTACACGGAAAAAGCCAACATCTAAAATAAGCTGTCAAAAATCTCGTACAAAATCAGTGCTTATTCGTTGTGCCGACACTAACATTCTGGTTTTGGCCATATCTTTTTATTCTCAATTGAAACTCCTAGGCATGGAAAATCTCTGGCTGCTCTATGGATGCTCAAAATCCCTACGATACATTCCCGTTCACTGCATTGCGGAGGCTCTTGGTGATAGGAAAGCAGAAGCTCTACGCGGTTGCCATGCTTTTACTGGCTGTGACA